ATATAATACCCCTCAGCTCTTAAGATAATGTATTATATATATATATATATATATGTGTTTTACCTTGAAAAATGTTATTTATATAATATGCACCTAATCAAATCTGAAGATTTAAATGTTAATTAGGTGCATATTATATAAATAACATTTTTCAAGATAAAACAAGATATAATTGCGAATGGCGGCGAATGAAGTTACCAATACAATGTAATGGTTGATACGGCTGATATGACACGAGGTCATGGAAGCCAAATTGATAATGACTGGCAGACTTCTTGCTATCAACAATCAATTTCTTGCTTAGAACAGGTGATAGTTAAATTCAAATTTAGCTTGATAATATAATTCAGATGTAATAATTTAAAATTCAATGATGGTTTTTTTAAATTATTTACCTTGAGAGACAAATCAGATCGTGTATTGCGTTTGATTGCTCAACTGCGATTAAATTAAGCAAATATAAGCAACTCAACAATAGATTATTCCAGCATTTTCAGGAATGTTACAGTAACGTTGCAATGTTTAAACAGTATCGCAGTAACATATATTTCAAACGTTATAGTATTATTGCTAGCTTCTGTGTTGTATAGAAAGATTGAATCATCTACATGCATACATATTGCTTACATTTTAGAATGGCGCTCTGGTGGGAGAAGATATTTCTGTTGATAATAGCACTGATCAGTTTGAGGATCCTCGTTAAAATCGGAATTTTAACGTGGAAGAAACTGATCGCCCCGACTTTCGGATTTGGAATACATTTTCGAACACAGGGGAAATGGGCGGTGGTAACTGGTGCGACAGATGGTCTTGGGAAGGCATTTGCTAAGGCACTTGCCGAAGAAGGTATGGATATCGTCTTGGTCTCACGGTCCTTGCCCAAGTTGAAGGACGTTGCTACTGAGATCGAGCAAAAATATTGCGTAGAAACTCGTATCGTGGAAGCTGATTTAACTGAAGGCCAGATAGTTTACGCGGAAATTGGCAAAGCAACGCAAGACTTGGAGGTAACAAATCTAATGTGATTTATTGTAAATCTTGAATTGATAGGAATATTTCACAGAGATGTATGAATAAAGAGATCGCTTTTCTTTAAAAAAAATATGCAAAAAACAAATTAATTTAGATTTTAATAAATAAATCAATAAATAATAATAATAAGTCTTTCAGAGCACAAATTAACGTGTATTAAAAAAATAAAAAAAATTCTTTTCCTTAAAAATTTAAAAGATTCTTTTTTTAATGAGAGAAAGAGAGAGAGAGAGAGAGAGAGAGAGAGAGAGAGAGAGAGAGAGAGATAAAGAGAAAATAATTAAGAGATATTTTCCAATAGGTCGGTGTTCTTGTGAACAACGCTGGCGCAAGTTACGACCATCCTGAAATGTTCACAAATGTGTCGGAGGAAGTTCTCGCGAGAATATTGCAATTGAATGTAGCCGGAGTAACCGGGGTCGCAAGAGCGATTCTGCCCGGTATGCTGGAGCGAGGGAAAGGAGTACTCATCAATGTGAGTTCGACGGCTGCGGCTATACCCAGCCCGTATCTGTCCGTTTATGCCGCCAGTAAAGCGTACATCGACAAACTCAGCGCAGATTTGGCTACGGAAGCTGCGCCGAGAGGCGTCACCGTTCAATGTGTTCTACCCGGCCCAGTCGCCACGAAGATGTCCAAGATCAAGTAAGAATCTTTTATATAATGAACTTGCGCAGTTCCGAATTCGAGAAGTTATGAAATAATTTTAATTCTATTTTATTTTTCAATAATCACAGAATTTGAAATTTTTCTGACGTCGATTGTCGTCGCTTCATATCTTTTCTTTTCCATAGGAGACCGACGTGGATGGCACCTAGCCCAGAGACGTTCGTCAAAGCGTCTCTGAGAACAGTCGGTATCGAATCACGCACGACCGGATATCCACCGCATTCGTTGATCATCGGCTTCATAAACGCGTTGCGTTACACATGCGAGACAGGCGCGGTGTGGTTGGTGGCGAAAACAATGCTTAATTTAAGGAGACGAGCCCTTTACAAGAAGACGAAACCCACAATAGTACAGGAAACCGCAGAGGAGAACACTTTCTAGTTATCTCGCGCGTTTTGTAATGTCGTTTTCTTGTTAACGAATAGAGCACTAGTGGCATATAGAAAAACGTTGCAGTAAGCATTAAGCAACTCGGTCAATCACGATTAAGGACGTAGGACAACAATGTTTAATTGCTTACATTTTTCTATGTTCCATTTTTTTAGCGTATTCCGTCAGTCGTCCTCGAATTGCTTTTTGTTACTGCTTCGCATTAGTTAAATCTTTTGATCGCTGTTTCTTTACATCCGAATCTATAATATAAGTATCTGTTTCTCAAAGATTTCCCTCTCAAAAATAGATAGGTTTGCAGTTTTTTTCCTGTTGTCTACAACAAGGCAAATTCATAATGAAGGGAACAAGATTCATGAAAATGACTTTTTTGAATGGCATAAATCGGACAGAAAAATGCATATCTGCGCATCAAGTGCACTTAGAAAAATAATTGTTATCTCATTTTAATTGTAAAAATCTGTTCTTCTCTCTAATACATCCATTTTTTAATAATATCAATTCATTTAAATAAAATTTATTACATAAGCATCCTTTTTCCTGTATGCTGTAAGGTTTCTCTCATGACATGGTAGTATCCCTTTCTCAATATAAAAAGAGGATATTATTAACTAAACTTCAAAAATATGATGGCAAACGCTACCGCGTGTCCTGGCGATGAGAGAAAAAAAAAGTAAAAAATAGCGACCCATTGGAATATTTTTCACTGTTTTGATTGAAATATAATATAGCGCTAATTCTCTTTCAATAAGTGTTGAGTAAATCTATTAAAAGTGGAAAAAAAAGAATAACAGAGATAAAAGGGCTCGAAGGAATAACATTCAAATTTTTGGAAAAAAGGACGCTCATCTTTTATGTAAGTTTTCATTATCATTGATTAATGATAATGAAATCATTGCTTTAAACTTCTCATAGACTATACAGTCTTTGAAAAAAACATCTCAATATATTTTGTATCTACATATTTTCAGTGATTGCGAATAAAATAGTTACACATAACTACGTTTTTAATTGATATTAAAATAATGCGTAAAATTTTACAAAAAGCATGATTCGAGTACACAAAATTCTTTCCATTGTTTAGCGGCAATGTTGCGCTCTTGCATGCTGCAATATTGCAAGAAACATTACAGGAGATATGGAAAGATATATACAAAAACTTTCAACAAAATTGCGGCAAAAATATGATCGAATCGTTCATTAATTATAAGTTCCGAATGCCTTTTTTAAATCTTTTCTATTACAAATTTCCCTAATTTCTTTCTTAAATTTTTCTCTAAATCTGTTGTGCCAAATTTCTCCTAAATCTTACAACTTATTACAATAATAAACCGTCGACCGGCTAAGATAAGAAAATAATCGAGTGTTTAAGAGTACACCTGGTATTTTTTTGGATTTGTTTCAGAAAACTCAATCGTCACGTAACAAATAGCAAATAAAACGAATCGACTTCGTACTTTGCACTAGGAGCTTATATTATTCTCTTTGAAGTTTTCTCGTAATCATCACGTAATTATCTATGCGTATCTAATTATTGAATACATTTACTACGGCTCCATCGCATCGCATTAATTTTTTTGTCGTACTTTGCATTCCATTTGACTAATTATTTCCTTTATTTTTTCTTTTCTCCGACTCGAAACTTACGTTGTAAGGAAAGACAACAAGCATAGAGAAACATGGGTAAGTAAAACGGATGTTTTTTGAAATTCGCCAAAAAGTAGACCGCGATGAATCGTTCTGTTTTAACGAAATTGTTTCAAGTAATACTTTTTTATCAAATAATACTTTTTTTATCGAGTCTCTCTTCGTATATTCATTTTTATCATAATGTACTTTGGTTCTAAGTTCGGTTTAACTTATCTTTCATCCTAAAAATTAGAAAAAGATGAATAGTTAGTTAAACTGAGATTAAAATTAAACTATATTTTAGTAGAAACAAATAACAGAAAAAGGTGAATAGGTTAAACCGAGATTAAAGTTAATCTACACTTTCAGCAAACGAGAATAAATTGAAATGGATTAAAATGGATTTTAGATTTTCAGAAATACAGATTCATGAATGTTAAAATAAATTTTTTTCAATCCTGAATACATTTTTATTCATTTATAGGAATTGCAATATAAGAATTGAAATAAATGTCTATTTCTTTTCAATCTTTAATGTATTCTTATTTATTTATAGGAATGACATAGAATATATTTCTATGCTTTTCAATATAAAAATAATATTAGCTTTTTCTGTGCACAACATATACATTGTGAATACTATTCAATTCAAAATTTTGAATAGGAAATGCAGTTTTTCAATCCAATTGTATTCAATTGAATCTAATTGAATCCAATTGAATCCAATTAAATCCAAAAAAAAAAGTATTTGCTATTTTTTTTAAATACACATTCGGATAGAAAAAAATTTCAATCCATTTTAATCCATTCTCGTTTGCTGAGAGGTTACAAATCCCTAAGGTGCGTTTTTTAATACAAATTTGAAGTAGTTAATATCAGACATAATTATTATAAATAAATGTCTTAGGAATAAAATTTGTAACCCTTAAATATAAATATTTTTTTTTTTTTTTCGAATATTAAACTAGCTCGGATCTAATCCACTTTAATCCATTTTCATGGATTTTTTTAAAGTACACATTAAAAAAATTTTAATCCATTTTAATCCATTCTCATTTACTGAACTGAAACGAACATAAATTGTGCCATTATGTTTTTCAATTTTTAAAACTAGAAGAAGATAAAAATAAATTATCGAGATTAAAACTAATCTATATTGATAGAAATAGTCATTAGAGAAAATTCAATCGAATTCCGATTAATCAGTTATTAATTCAACAGCAAAATTTCTAATTCTATAATAAACAACAAAAAAATTAATTTTATTCATTAACAATAAAATAATAAATATTAAATTTAATTTGATACATTAAACGGTTAATTACAATTAGCTCGATTAGCTCATCATCAATTGGAATTAGACTAACGAAGGTTTATTCATCCTTGATCTTATTCAAGAGAAAAGAAATTCTTTTCGCATGATTAATCCACTCTCTCTCTCTGTCTCTCTCTCTCTCTCTCTCTCTCTCTCTCTTTCTCTATCTATCTATCTATCCATTTTTGTCTCGCATGCGCAAATTTTTGTCTCGAATCGCACCGATCGCGCATTGCTCTCACACGCCAAAGCAATATGGCCGTTTGCACCTGCACGTTTCATGGTTAAATACTCGTGGATCTGCACGATACGAACGGAAAATCGCGTCGATCAAGGCTCCAGGTCGAATTCAACCGTACCACAAGCTGATACTTGATGAAAATACGTGATCAAGTGGGCACGAGGCGAAACGAGTGAGAAAGCGGCGCGCGTCAAGTTCACGTTTCAGCGTGCCTAACCTCTAATAGTAGGCGGCAAGTGTTAGTGTCATATCCAGCCTCGACTACCACTCCGGTTAGCGGTCGAGTGTCACACATCGACGAGGAGGAGAGATCCCATCCACGTGCCCGTCGTTCACCCGAGTTCTGCGTGTGTCTCGTTCCGTCGCGCCGATAACCGATGTCCGCTGGCATGTTCCGCACGACGACAGCGAGGCCGTTCAACCTTCGTTACATCCTCGCGTTCAACAAACCTTACGCGCTTTGTTGGAGGGAAAATAAACTGAAATAGTGTTTACCACAGCTGGACACGTGCGCGCGAATGCGAATCGGTCCGACACTAGCTTAAGTTTTGTTTTTATAAATAGAGAATAGTCTAGATCGAATTGTATGTATATATTGCTGCACGCATTGCTACGTCACTCGTTTACATTTGTTGTTGCAATTGATGAATATTGTAAACCGTAAGATACGTAAATACGATACGTAACATATATACATATATATATATATATATATGTGTGTGTGTGTATATATTTGTACATACTTCGAGCTATATTCTTCATCCTTCATTGTCCTATCTGAGTAACGATGCGCTTTATCAGTGTTGAAAAGCTTAGCGAGATACAGACTGACGCCACACGTATCAGGAACATATGTATCCTGGCGCACGTGGATCATGGAAAGACCACCCTGGCGGATTCTCTCGTTGCGAGCAATGGCATCATATCCAATAAACTGGCTGGCAAACTTAGATACCTGGATAGTAGACCAGATGAACAGATACGTGGGATCACAATGAAATCTAGTTCCATAACGCTATATCATGTATACAATGAAATGGACCATGTGATAAACTTGATTGACTCTCCAGGGCATGTGGACTTCTCCTCTGAAGTTTCAACAGCAGTCAGACTGTCGGATGGAGCTATCATCCTAGTTGATGTAGTGGAAGGTGTATGTCCCCAGACACGTAGCGCTTTATCTATAGCCTATGTCGAGGGTTTGAAACCTATTTTAGTACTTAATAAAGTTGACCGATTGATCACGGAAATGAAATTGACGCCATTGGACGCTTACGTACGTTTGACACAAGTCTTGGAACAAGTAAATGCCATCATGGGAGAGTTATTTGCGAGCGACGTGATGGAACGTGAAGAACGCGAGGAGACGGTCGCATCTACGTGGGACAAGGTGAACGAAAGGGATCTGGCCGATTGGCAATCCGTATTGGAAGAGATAGATGATTCAACTTTATACTTCTCGCCGGAACAAGGAAACGTTCTTTTCACTAGTGCAATTGATGGCTGGGGATTTGGCATCAAGGAATTCGCGAAAATTTATTCGAACAAATTAGGATTTAGCGAAAAGGTTCTACGTAAAACGTTGTGGGGGGATTTTTATATAAATAACAAAACGAAGAGGATCATGAAGGGGGCTCAGGAAAAGGCTAAGAAGCCACTTTTCGTTCAATTGATTTTGGATAATATCTGGGTGTTATACGATACTATAGTGATACGGAAAGATAAAGATAAATTGCCGATTATAGCTGAAAAATTAAATATTAAATTGACAACGCGTGATTTGAGGCACACAGATTCAAAAGCACAGTTGCAAGCCGTTTGCTCACAATGGCTTCCTCTGGCGCAAAATTGTCTCGATATGGTATGCGAGAAAGTTCCAGCACCGCATAATTTAACTCACGAGAAAATCGAGCGATTGATAAGCGGAAATAACGACTTCTCTGCTTTACCTCTTGAAACTCAGCAACTGAAAAAAGCATTCTTATCGTGCAATTCATCGTTGGAAGTGCCGATTATCGTATTCGTATCGAAAATGTTTCCAGTGGAGAAGGACATGCTGCCCGAGAACAGACCGAAGTCGCTAACACCGGAAGAATTGGCACAAAGAAGAGAAATTATTCGACAGAAGCATGCAGAGCGACTGGAGCAAAAAACTTGTACTGCCATTGAAGACCACGAAGATACCAAAGAAGATATGCCCGATACGATAGTCTCTAATAACATAAACCATGAGGATGTCACCGAGGATAAATCGGACGGCGCATTAGTAGCCTTCGCCAGAGTGTATTCGGGAACTATAAAGATTGGAGATGAGGTATTCGTTTTAGGACCAAAGCATAATCCTTCTATTGCTTTGGAATGCGAGAAAGCGGGTGAGAAGGTGGATCCTTCCCACGTGCTGAAGGATCTGAAGCCCGGCAGACATATTACGAAGGTGACTGTAAATAAATTGTACATTCTTATGGGAAGAGAGCTCGAGGCCGTAAATAAGGTACCAGCGGGTAATGTTTTCGGAATTGGTAGCCTAGAAGAGCACGTTTTGAAAACCGCGACTCTTTCAACGACAATTGCTTGTCCTTCGTTTACAGAATTAACTTCTCTCGCAGTTCCTATATTGAGAGTAGCCCTGGAACCGAAACATCCCAACGACTTGCCAAAGCTCATCAATGGTTTGAAACTATTGAATCAAGCGGATGCCTGCGCCATTGTTCACATACAAGAGACTGGTGAGATCGTCCTGAGCACCGCAGGTGAAGTTCATCTGGAGAGATGCCTGGAGGATCTCAAGCTGAGATATGCCAAAATCGATATTAACGTGTCTGATCCGATCGTGCCATTTCGCGAAACCGTAGTGCCACCTCCGAAACTCGACATGGTGAATGAGGCGATCGAGAAGAAGGCGGCGGAAGTCAACCTTGAAGTCTGGACGTCAAATCGGCAGTGTCGTTTTGAGATAGACACGAAACCTCTTCCGGAAAACATAACAAAATTATTAGAGAAAAATGCAAATCTGATAAAGTTGTTGGATAGTTACTGCGACAGATGCACAAAGGAGAATGGAGAGCACGAGGCTATTGCTAGCGAGAATCAACTCAACGAGAGATCCATGTCTGATAAGAAGCAGAAGGAAGCAAAAGTATTCAAGAACGAATTGGAGACAGCTTTTCTCGAAGCGGGGTGGAAGGATAATGTAATGGATAAAATATGGTCATTTGGTCCACGAAAATGCGGACCCAATATCTTACTAAACGAGACTGATTACACGCAAAAGAAATTCTGGGAGCAGCAAAACACGAATGTCGATTCCCGAGCATCGTAAGTATTTCAAAAAATGTTGATGCAAAAGCTTTTTATTGTACATATTTCGTTTGAAACCAACGTTCGAGAAACATAATTTATTAAATGTAAATTTATCGTAATGATAAATGTTATAACATATAATGCAAAAAATAAATATAAGCGAGATACATACTTTGACTACTCCTCTAGTATAAAGTTAAAACATTTGCTTCTGTAAATACGAAGTAGCAAGTATCACAACAAAAACGTTTTAATTTTGCAGCATTTTTGCACTAAAAGTAATCAGTGCCTTTATCCTATATACAGAGAGTTAAAGTAATAATATTTAACACAGTGCATACATACACACATACATATAGATGTACATATAAATATATATGTATATATATATGTGTGTGTATGTATATATATATATATGTGTATGTATATATAGATATATGTATATGTATATATACAGAATGTCCCAAAATTTTTTACTAAACGCTCTTATGTAAACAGAGCGAACTAAATTGAGTCGAAAAGTTCTCTACTACCAATATCAATATTCAGCAATTTTTAGTAATTAATATCTTGTTAACTATTTGCAAAATGATAAAGGACTTTTCGACTTACAGTTTAGTCCGCTCTATCTACACAAGAACGCTCGACAAAATATTTCAGAACACCCTGTATATAAATATATATAAATATATAACATAGAAATCGTACTTAGCCGTGTTATTGAAGAATTTAATAGACACTAAATACACGAGTATAAAAAAAGAATGATATAAGATGTACGAAACGTTGCAGCGATTCCGGTGGCCAGAGCCAGGGACATTTGGGCGGTCAATTAATGTCAGCGTGTAAAGAAGCTTGTCGACGGATTTTCAGCCTGCGATACCCCCGACTGATGACGGCGATGTACAGCTGTAGCGTTTTAGTCAACTCTGACGTTCTCGGTGAGTAATTATTAATGTATAATGATACTGATTAGTTGTTCTCACGTATTCGTATAATCTAGAATATCTATAAATACGATCGAGCACGTACTACATCTCCGAGTTTTTGTTTAATCACGTAGTTGCAAATACGTGACTTAAAATATCTACATCGATATTTCTCATTTTTTAATCGCGTCAGATTAATATAGTCATTCTTGAAAAAAATGACCAAGTACTTTTGGAATATATAGTAATTAACATATTTTACTTCGTATTTTAATAATGAGGAAAAAAATGTAGATTTTTTTTTAAGATCTTATCTGTCGGAAATTCAGGTGCCAAATATATTCCTATTCTTTTTTCTTTTTTAATATTACGCGTAATCAGACAGCTCTTTACATTTGAGTAGGCGGCGAAGCCATTTGTCTTCCTCACTGCAATTTGTGTATGTCGTGTGTAATTAATCGATAGCTAAAATTATAAATAATATAGAAATCATGAATAATAAATATGCTTAAAACGAGTAATTAATATATATAAAAATGAGAATACAAGTGACATAGACGATTTCGTCCTATCGTATCTGTTAACCCTCGCGCGGACACGCTGATGTTTACGTTTAAAACATTTCTAAAAATTACCTTACCTCTGATTTAACTTTTTGTGATCAATAATTAATCAATGCAGATAGAGCAAAAATAATTCTTTGAACGAAAAATTACGTAGTATGAAATTAATAATTAATTAATGTTAATTTACATTAATTTACATTAATTTACATCATGATGCGCCCGTTCGAGGGTTACGGAAGCGTGAGAGTAATACGAGGGAAATGGTAGGAAGATGAAGAGAGTTCGGGCATGGGATTTGAATGGCTGGAAGAATTATAAATATAATAGCATTATAAATTAACGCGTAAATTCGTCGATGGCAGATACAGGATGGGACATCGCATCGCGAAATTATTCCCAGAGAGACGGCGTCGCCAGTAACTGTCGCACCTTGTCCCAAGGGAAACGTGGTTTCTCTTCGTCCTCTGCATATCCTGTTTAAGAACGTATAATTCTTCAGAGAAATCCGGGACAAGCTTTTGAAAAAAATAAACGATATTAGAGTTTAGAATGCTTACCAAAAACACTGCGCGAATATCGTAGCGGTCGTCCCCTTCTGTTTCCCTGTACACACATCATTCCGTACACCCGAATACCCGGGACGCTGGCATAAGTCGGTTGATCGTGGCTCATAGGTCCCTCTGAAAAAATATAATTATAAATTCAATGACTCTGTATCAGACTAGAAATTGAGATTGAGATTGAGATTAAATTTGACGAAAGAAGAAAGAAAATCAATTTCTAGTTTAGTGAACTTTGCTCCGATTGATCAAGTTCAATCTCGATCTCAATCTCAATCTCTAGTTTGATATGGATATAAAGCGTTTTCATGATATACGGTTATCTAAAGATTAAAGAAGACCGTTACCAAGAAATGCATGAATGAATTTTATATAAATTTCTTGGTAACCTTTAATCTTTAGGTAATCACAGATCAGAGTTGGGAAGTAACGCGTTACTTATAACACCGTTACTTTGTCGATCGTTACCTTTCCATAATAACGATTTGGTAATGACGTTGCAAACTTTTTTACGATAATGGTAACATCAGAGAGTTGGAAAAGTCAATCGTTACTTGTAACGAGTAATGTTACGCGTTACTTATTACTTTTTTTTTAGTAAGTAACGCATAATGATGACAAGTTACTTTTCAAAATGACTTCCAATCTTAGCACTTTAGCAACTTTAGCGTTAATTTTTAGTTAGTTAGCGTCATAAAAAATTGCATTATAAAATGTTTATTACACAGAGTAACGGAAGAGTAACTATATATATATATATATAATGAAAAACGCGGGCTTAAGAATTCAAGAGCATGACAAGAATTCTTCATGTTATATTGAGTCTGAATTGTACGTGCTGGTCTTCGAAATTAGATCGAAGATGTCTGTTCCTACTAATGTTGAACTGAGATTAACTTTAATTTCAGCTCTTGATCTTTTTTTAATTCTTAGAACTAGAAAAGACGAAGAGTTAGTTGAACCAAGATTAGAATCACCAAAATCGAATTGCGCCGATAGAAACGGATTGCATTGGTAAATCGAAAGTTCGGAGTTTTTCACTCACCGAGTATGTTTGTGTCGGGACATCGGCATATTACGAGATAGTGAGACTTTCCCGTACGCACGTTCTGCAACGCCAACAGGGACCAGTCCCGCGACGCTCTGCACTCTCGCATCTCGGCGACCGGCTCGCACGTTTTCACCAAGGTCAAGGCCTGGAATAAGCATGGCCATAATAAGCGAGGTCGTATTTATATTTTTTTGCACAGGTTTCTTCCTTTCGGTTAGACAAACCGCATGTTACGTAATCCCGTTAGCACGAATACGTGTCGCGTTAGAACGGAGCTATTTTAACAGTTTAAGATGAGGCATTATCATGTCACTTGAGTGGGATGCGATTAGCGTGTCTGAGCAATCATTGATTATATTGATTATCTCGTCCATAAGTATCATGCGGTTCGAGAACCTCTCTTTATTGCATAGCCATAACGTTGGCTGGTACGCTACGTTTTACGGTATGTTATAATAATAAAGCCACAGGAATATAACGAGACTGAAATTACTGAAAGCGGTCTACGGGAGCAACTTACGGAAATACGAGGTGAATTGCGACGAATATTTTAGTTCGCTTCTAAAATCGTCTTTTCAAGCAGCGATTCGTCAGTGTGCAAGTCACGGTTAATACACCGAACGAAAGTGAACGAGTTTTTCTCACGGCAGGAAACTCGCGTTAAGAACGCCTGAGAGAGCTTCTCTGAGAGAATCAGCAGCCGGTTGGTCATGCCATAGGAATGGCGCCATGCCTTGGTACCGTTTCCATAATAGCTTAACGCTAGGAACGTTAAAATAAAATACATCGTGTTACAGGAACAGCAATTTTTGCAACTCGAACGGAAACTCCTCCAATTGTTTATACACACGTTCGTTTTTATCCGTAATTCGCAAACACGTCGAACGTACCCGTATGATTTCTTCTTTTTCTTACTGTGCAAAAACTGCTAAAAATATCTCGCAATCGCATATTTGTTAGATTTTATGATGTCCTTTTTTTTGTCTTAATAATGAGACTCGGACGAAGGATAATGATTATTATACAATTAGAAAATTTGTGTTAAATTTAACACATTTTATATGTCTCAAACGATTCACTCAAATTTTTATGTTAATTCAACACAAGATGAATATGCTAAAGAGAGATAACAAACATGTAAAAAGATTTAAAAAAATGTGACACTGACAGAATTTGCAAACAAACTGTGAAGGCATATTTTTATAGTAAAATTAATATTTACGACATGTTAATTAACACGTATTTTTACTTATTTATTTAAAAATTTAAAACATTATTTCATGTTATTTATTTACTTACTCCTAAATCGCGTTCTTTTGACATTAACAAATGTTGAATATCGATTTAACATTATAAATATTTAAATAACATAATCAAATTAAATTAAATTAGTACTTAAATATGTTAAAAATTCAATACAAAATTTTTAACAAAGATTTGAGTGGATCGTTTTTAACACAGATACAAAACTTTTGTACTGTATAGAAGTAAACGTTCGAAATGACAAAAATAGGATGATAAAACTCAACTCCATCGATCATTCGAGGGAGCCTTCACTAACCTTGGTTCGCGGATCAGTCACCAGCTCGGTCGTGTGCAGGTCGTCGCTGTCCAAGGATGCACTACAAGGATCCCGATACCTTCCGGGACAGGCGCACAGCGGTTGCGTGAAGTTCAATCGGACGTAAACAGCATTGCACACTTGCTGAACGGCGCATTCCGGCAGCAAGTAGATATGCTGATTGTGTGGATAGTAGTGATATTTGGTCGGTTTTGCGAGCGCCGCGCTCGCTCCCTCCGGCAATCGTACCCCCGTCTGCAAAATGGTAAAAGGCCTTGCACTTTGGCAATAACGCGTGTAATGATATATCGCGCGATTTTACGAGGAATGGGCGTAACGCGTAACGACTTTCCGGGTATCGAGTAGTAATCCCGTAGATCCGATTTCGAGCGGAGCTCTATGATTAGATCAAGCCTTCTTCCTAGAAAGTAACATCGCGCTCTTTCGTCGATTGACATAGCTGTAATCCGTGTTTGCTCAACTTTCCCCCCCCCCCCTCTTCCCGGTTTGCATCCTTCAATCACGAATAACACGGTCTCAAGAGATTTTCTAGGAATGAGATGTTCTCTGGGAAATAGGAGCGATCTCTACGTGCCACGGATAACTTGGTCTGATTATGAAAAATGTTGTTTTCTCTTATTTTCGACAGCGCATAAATTTGTACTCCGATCGCGAATGAATGCATCTTTATACTACGGCAATTGCATGGTAAACGAGGCCCCACATTGCGCGTGGTATCTCATTAACAATGTTTCTGTGCCACGAGACGATTGTCTGCCTTTTCACTTCTGCGAATTTGCACTTTCCCTTCATAATCCTGTTTAATTAATATGTAAATGAAGAAAGATTCGCACCTCGACTCCAACTTCCACTCCAATATCCGGTTCTCATTAAATGCTTATGCGAGAAAAACTGCGTTCTGTCAAAAAGGGGGCCATCGACATTCGTAACGTCACGGAAATTTTCCACCTGTCAATAATCGTTCCAAGTACAAAATGCATTTGTCTCAAAAAGTGACAAGTCGGTCTCGCGGGACGCGTCTTCGGTATTTATCTTGGAAGGGAAGTTACACGGTGCCAATCGCGTGATGAAAATTGTTAGAAAGGAGGCGAACTACGGAGAGGAGTAAGGCATGCAAAAAAATGCGGAATGCTCGGAGTTGAGAGAGGAGACGAAAGAAAGGCCAGGCAAGGTACGCTGTATCGATAGAGTACGAGATGGTCCGTGCGGATATCCATCGCCGGCCAACTTCCTGGAACGTGAGACTATGCGCCGTCGAGGATAGCCCTCTTTGCCTTTGCCTGGTCCCGCTCTTCTTTCGTTTATCTCGTTTACGTTGCTATCATCTCGTCCTTACTCTCCAAAACTTTCAGAGACTCTGAGGAACGAATGAATAATTGCCCAGAGTTCACGTAGGGTGAGTTTTACCTCTTAGCCCTTCGGCGACTTGAAAGAATCAAATATTAACGCGATAAGATGATTAAAGTGTCGGCGACACCGAGATTCTCTATGGACCGAAGTCGTGCATAAGAAAATGAATCAAAGTCCCTCATTTCTTTCCTTTCTATGAAATCAAAGAATTGGTTGATTTTCTGGTTGCTTTATGCATTATGCGTTATGCAAAGTCTGTGCTCCGGCCTTAAGAAGGTTGTAAGGGCATAAAACACACATTATTAATATTTATGCTTTAAACAAACTGCATTCATGTGAAAGTTGTGTTCATAATATTCTGTTTTTATTGAGCAACTCATTTTGATAGATTATTTATTTTATTTAATATTAGTTTTATTGTTGTAAATAAAAATTTTTAAAATAATAAAAATTAAAATTTTTGTTATACAAATATTTTAAGTAAAATGACTTGTGCAAAATTTCATTGATTCACAAATAAATATTTTGTTCATTTACTGATCAAATGTCTGCTCAATCTAACTCAAATCTCAATCTAACTTCGTTGTGTATTATTCAATGTAAATATTTTTGAATTCATAAAGTACTTATATAAAAAATTGATCATTATTTTATAACACATTTTCATATATTTCTATTAGAGTACAAATTAAAAAAATATTACTTTTTATTGAAATAATTTTGATCCACATGGATCAAAATTAATCTGTAATTTTTTCAAGTAATTAATCTTAATTATTAAAATTAAGATTTCAAGATACTTTCATAACAGTTGTATATAAATTTTCCTTGCGCAACTCCTTCATACATTTTGACAAATTCAGAAAGTACTATATACTCACAAAGGAATATAAAGAGTGATCGTTAATCGGCACGGTTTTTAGTAAAGTCAGTGCTGTCCTTACGAGAAAAGGGTCAGGTATTTCTTGGTCTCTGGAATCGACCGTATCTTGCGGTAGAGCGTTCGGTCGAGCATGAATGAAGGGAAAAACCGCGACGGCGATTCACGAAAGAACGCTGACAAGACGGAGATTCCACAGCTTCCCGTAGAAGCGTGTCCGAAATGCCCCGTTTCGAGCTTCCGATAGCGTCGCTCACGGTGTCAGTCACGGGTGAACGCGTTAATTGCGAATCATCAAGAACCTCGCGAACTTCGCCCATGTTCCCCTTCTTCCTTTCTTTTCTTTCTCTCATTTCCGAGCTTGTCCGCGTTGCGATACAAACCGATTATAGGCCGGTATTTATAGTCGGATCGTACATTAAGATGTCGTAAAGAGGCGTCTACAATAAGATCTTGAAGCGTAAAATTTGAACTTTAAGGCTCCTGAGTAGTCGCACCGCAGCCATATTGAATTGTAACGATCAGAGGCAAGAAATAACATGTTAATTTTTATTACGTACCATAATTATTAAATAAAGATAATGGATAAAATAAAATGATGAGATTGCTTTAAAACGTTGTAAAAATAGACGAAAACTATCCCTCCCGATAGTCAGTAAATAGTCGTAAAAATTGATAAAAGGTGTAAGTAAAAATAGGCTACGCATGCACATTGAATAAAAACATTTTATGTGCCTTTTATCACTTTTTACGATTATTTACTATCAGGGGAGATAAGGATAGCTTTCGTGCATTTTTATTTTTTAAAACTATTGTTTTAAAGAAATCTCATCATTTCATTTTATCCAAATTGTCTTTACTTACAAATGGCACGTAATAAAAATTAACGTGTTATTTCTCGCTTCTGACGTCACGATTCAATACGACTGTGGTGACTTTCAGGAGCCTTCAGCCTTAAGCCGTAAGAAATTGACCAATTATAGTCGAACATGAGGAGAATGATCGGCTATAATTAGTCGTCATTTCCTTACAGCTTAAGTTTTACGCCTTAAAATCTCATTGCAGACGCCACATAAACCAATCACAGAGCAATATTAGTATCTTAAGACATTATTTATTAAGACGATCTTGAAATAAGAGACCGGCCACGGTCGATGTCGCCGCTCTGGACGACCATAATCGGCGATGTCACCCGCTCAATATTCCGAGGCTATGGATCGACCTCAAAGAGAGAGGCGTAAAACTGCCCGACTTCGAAAATAATGTCATCGCGTGCCGCGTAATCCACCGCATAACTCGAGCTACAAAACGCTCGTTTATAAAGCGGTCGTTGACCGAAACGCGATTGCGTTCCCTCGAGTTCTTCGCCTTGGAATCTCTTTGCCGGATTTACTTTGCGATTCTTAATTTTTTCGGACGTTACGATTCCCTCCCGGTTTTTTTTTTCTCTTTCTGTTATCTTTCCGCTCCTGCGTCCCACACGTCCGCATACCATAAGTATTTTCGCTCGTGAATGTAGCGTTTCAGAGAATGAATCGGCGAGATGAAGAAGAACTTGGTCTGAATAATAAAGTCAGGTAAACCAAGAGCATGCAAGATAAGTGATCGCCCGGAGACTCAGTGATTAAAATCACGAGCATAAATTCAATAAAAAGAACAATTTTCTTGAATAATTTATTAATAAACTGACGGCTAATACGTTTGAAACATGATAATTAATCATGATAGTCAATAAATTAAATCAAAAGCTATTACTATAAGTAGTACCAAAGAAACTATAAGTAGACAATTAATATAAAAACGACGAATATTATCATTTAATCTGATATAAAAGATTTAAAGAAAACGTCTAGAGAAAAAAACATAATTAGATTATTAAGACACGTACTGATGGAGACTATTATTCCTGTTTTTTTTCCATCATCTCCTTTATATTGTATATCTACGTTTGCTTCTCTACGAAAAAAAGGACGAGAGGATTTTTTTTTTCTCTACATTCTTCGACAAGTCGTGATTAAAGTAGAACCACTAATTGATTTATCGTCTTTTATTCTAATGTAGACGCAAGAAGAACACTCGGCTCGAATTTATTGTCTGTGGAGACAAATGCAACGCGAAGTAGCACACAAAGTGAATCGATTAACGTTAGGGAATAGGCCACGGTAAATTGTCCGTGGCGATACCGGCCCATCTATCCTTTTCCTTCCTCCCCATCTTTTCGTTTATTTTCCTTCGCATTTTCTTTTCGTCTCGGTATCGTCACGTTCCACTACCGATATTAGCACCGGCTGATCCGTTTGCGTCACGACCGTGAACGCTCGCCCTCCTTTCGCCGTTGGTAGATTCGTCGAGTTAATGTATCGGCGTATTGCAAAGTGCAACGCGTCCTCGGAATATGAATTTTTAAGCGGAAGATGATTGATTAGATGGATCGATTAATGTGAGAAACGGCTGACACGGCTGGTGTGAACTCGTGGAATGCAACCTCGTGATTTAAAATTCAAAAAAGCTAGTTGCATGCCGGATGATTATTTAGAGCTCGTAAGTCAGAGTTTTTTTTTAAAAGATGAATAAATAAGAGAGAGACAAATAAATTAATATTAAAATGATATTGATATGAAGTATGAGCAAATTGTATGTATACTGAAAAAAATTGACTAACTCTTGATATATTTCTTTGAATAATACTAAGTAAACATTTATTTACAGTAAATAAATATTTACTCAATGAAACAAAATGATAGTTAAATCGAATTGTTGATTTTGTATCAAAAATAAATATATATTTATATTTACTAAGTAAATATTTACTTAGAACTATTCAAACAAATATTTATTAAGATTTAAATTTTTTTTCAGTATATGTATATTTCATAAAAGAAAGAATTCTATTTTTGGTCAAAGCGGATCTTGGTGTTTGATAATGTTTGATATGCAAATTTGCAAGATTAATCCGATAAACTGATAAATCGATTTGCCGTTTATAGAACTAAAAAATATATTT